TGCTGCTGGAAGAGTGGCACTGACAGGGTTGCTCTAGTGGGGCTGCCACACGCCTGTAATTTATAAAACGCACAGTGAAGTGCAAGAAAATGAGATGCGCTAGTAATTGCCGAAAAGCAGTGCCCATGAGGCTCTGTTCACGTTCTGCTGCCTGGACTTGCATGAGTTGTGTGACAGCTCACCACAGGCCGGGCAGTACAGACCAACACATGCTGGCCTCACGGCTTCTGCAGGGCGAGAACCGTGACCCGCCCTGGTGTGGCGTGCTTCTAGCTCTCACGGGTGCCCGTGTCTGTGTGTTCCCCACAACCTCCCAACAGTACCGCTTGGGGCCTGGCTCACTCTATCAACCACTCACCCTTTGGTTATTTATCAAGAAAATGCAAAGCAAAAAAAAAAGCAGTGGTTGCAATCCTAGTCTCTGATAAGACAGACTTTAAACCAATGAAGATCAAAAAAGACAAAGAAGGGCATTACCTAATGGTAAAGGGATCAATGCAACAAGAAGAGCTAACTATCCTAAATATACATGCACCCAATACAGGAGCACCCAGAGTCATAAAACAAGTCCTTAGAGACCTACAAAGAGACTTAGACTCCCACACAATAATAATGGGAGACTTTAACACCCCACTGTCAATATTAGATCAACAAGGCAGAAAATTAACAAGGATACTCAGGACTTGAACTCAGCTCTGGACCAAGCGAACCTAATAGACACCTACAGAACTCTCCACCCTAACTCAACAGAATATACATTGTTCTCAGCACCACATAGCACTTACTCTAAAATTGACCACATAATTGGAAGTGAAATACTCCTCAGCAAATGCAAAAGAATGGAAATCCTAATAGTCTTCCAGAACACAGTGCAATCGAATTAGAGCTCAGGATTAAGAAACCCAAAACTGCACAACTACATGGAAACCGAACAACCTGCTCCTGAATGATTACTGGGTAAATAACGAAATTAAGGCAGAAATAACGAAGTTCTTTGAAACCAATGAGAACAGAGAGACAACATACCAGAATCCCTGGCACACAGCTAAAGC